GTTCATACAAAATCCCATTTTTGGTGAGCATCAAGAAGGTCCAAAATAGATTCTTTAAGTGCTAAAACATGGTTCAAAAATCATATAGATAAGGGACACAAACATATAACAATTGATTATGGATTTGTTCTTCATCACTTTCACTCACCTTCACAATCCATTTCTCTCAAGATCTAAATACACACACATATTCAACTCACACATAGTTGGATTCAAGCATGTAGAATCAAGAATAGTATGTAATTTCCCTTTTATGGCTCAAATTAACACAACTACTACATGATGAAATACGTATTCAACTCTATAAGTGACACACACACACACACACCACAACACAAACCTTAACTTACATGAATACCCAAGAAATTCCTAGCCCAATACAAGAGAGGAGTTAATTAAGGTGAAATCTACATACCTTGAGCTTAGGTCTCTCAAATTCCCAACCTTCTTGATGATCTTCTTCTCCTACTTCTCAAACCCTTCTATACTCTAATCTTTCCTCTCAGGAGATATTTGCAATGAAGCTTCTAAGTCAAAGTGTTTAAAGAGTCTTGGTACATAGTTATACCTAAAATGTGAATAGGACAAAAATCAGTCGTTTAATCATCCCAAATTGAAATTTCACAGAAATGCTTATTATTACCTAAAAATTATGCTGATCTCAAATGTAAAATCAATTTTAGAGAATTAAGCCGCTAAGGCTTCCAATTTCTGATCCAAACATAATAGTTGTAACAAATTTGTCTCCTATTAGACAGATATGAATATATTTTCATAAGATTCACTTAATTAAATACAATTTTGCATAAAATTTCACAATAAGTATTTAAATGCACAGAATAAGGGACTGGAAATGTACCAGAAACACTTGCGAGGGTCAGGTTATTACACTCTCCCCTCCTTAAATAAGTTTGGTCCCTCAAACTTGTTTTACCATGTAACAGATTAGAAACCTCAGTCTTACACCCTTGTCCAATTCTGTTATAGATGTTCAATTAATTCCTCAATTTGAACCATTCACAGGTTAATCCGACGTTTATCACAATTATTCAAATGTTCTCAACATAATAAGCATGTCATAGTTTTATCCAACTAGTCGTTTCGATGTCTATCTCAGGTGTGTAGAAATAAAACTATCAGATCCATACATTCATTTCATAAGATTGTATGTCGAATGAGATGAGACTACAAGAGTGCACTATAGAATGTTCAAGGCATAAATCCCAAGTAGGCAGGGTTTATAATCACAATATTTTCCTGCCAATAAGTTCCATAGCATCAATTGTCAAATACAAAAACATAATAGATATCACTTCCTTAAGTACCTAGGCATATATTCCCACAGTATACGTTAATTTCAATCACAATAACAAAAACGTTCTCTACTATGTTCATAACCAGATTGATCCAGCATTAATAGATCATATGCAATTTTCCTTAGGAAGTACATGTTCAAACTTGCCCAGTTAAGTAGCTCCTAACAGCATAATTTGTTCGTAGTATTCCCCTATTTCCAAAAGTATGTCAGAGCAATACCAATATATTGATTCAGAATGATATGAAATAGTTCTTGGCAAAGTTAGTACTATAGAAAGAAGGATCACAACACACATCGTTAATTTCTCATGGTATTACTTCTAAGTTCAGTAACACAGAGAGAACCATGCTCTGAATCGAACAATTATGGCAATATCAGAACTAGTATCATATACTTTTACAAATTCATGCAGATGTGCCATGATAGACTCTTAGTCATACTATTATAAGTTTAGATCTGTGCAATAGAAATAGATAGAACAACCATCTTTTCGAGCAAAGGGAGCCATCCAAAGACGAAGCCAGAAATCAAATTCAAGATCATGTTTAATTAATTAGACATCACAGTAAGGTGTAGCGTCCTCCCTTAATAAGCATTTCTTCTGATTACAGCACCAATTAATTTGGCCCCTTTTTAATCATTTCAATGTTCTATTGTTCATATAACTTTTCCTTTTCCAACTGTAGGGCATAAAATCAACCACATGGTTCCGTATCCGCAATTCAGTAGTACAGTGGGTCAATAAAGAGCCATATAGAAATCACAGACTAGCCACATATTATAAGCAGAGTATCCAGTTACTTCTCGTACGTAGGTTCTATTAGGTCCATTTACAGGGTCACAAATCCCATTAGATGTACAACATTTATAATAATCACATTCTTCCAGATTCCATAATATCAAAACAAGATATGCACTGATATAACAAAAGAAGAATTTTGACCGACTAATATCAAAGTTAATAATTCTTGATAAGGTTAATTCAATATGATAGTAAATCAATTCATAGCCATGCAGGGAGTACTGTACAAATCTGTCTAAACATGCAAAAGGAGGTAGATACCCAGTACATATCGTTAACCCATCAACAATATGGTATATCCCCATGTCCAGTTGTTTCTACCGAGGTGCACAATATCAAGCAAAACAGTTCACATTATAGCCTCCAAATAGGCAATAGAGGGCTAATTTGCACTATCCAACATTTGTTTTTGTCTTGTTTTTTTATATATATATATATCACAGAAATGATTTCTCAATCTCAATACACATAGGCAGGGTTCTCGTTCTTGCGGTAAATTGTTAGATTCATTGAGATTACAGATTACAGATTACACAAAAACAAAACAAATTACAGATTACAGATTACAGATTATTGATTATAGATTACAGATTACAGATTACAGATTACAGATTACAGATTTCAGATTATAGATTTCAGATTACAGATTACAGATTACAGATTATAGATTATAGATTACAGATTATAGATTAGAGATTACAGATTTCAGATTTCAGATTTCAGCTTTCATATCATAGATTCCCATAACAAATCTTGTTTACACATAAAAAAAACTCATTCGACATCATCAATAATTCCCTCGATTCCCCATCAGAAGTCGTCAATAATTTTCTCAGTTCACGAAATCACATTGATTATATTCTGTTTCAAGGTCAATAACCAATTCCTTAGCATAGCCTATCTATTTAACCCTCAGTAAGAAGCAAAATCACAATCAACTGACTCCTTTCACAATTTTAAAAGGGGTCACTATATGCATAACTTCTTCTTACAGCTAGTCATACCCAACACAATTTCAATTATTACGCAAAACACATCTTATCAAAATGTTCAAACACAGTAACTTCTCAAAATCACAGATCTACATTGTTATGGCAAGGAAGAGATAACTATATCATAAAAGTTAGAGTATCATATATACCATTTCCTTTAGTCTTAGAGATATTCCATACTTAGAGTTTTAACATATGTTGTTGGAGGTGATAAATGACCTTGTATCATAAATATGGAAATGGTAAGAACATTTGGAATTATGTTGAAAAGCAGTGTTTTGCCTTGAAGAGGCTAACTTGTAGTGGATTGTGCAAGGTGAGTTGTTGTTGCTATAAATTGTGGGCACATGAGGCTTAATTGATATTGTTTGTGGAGATGTTGAAATTGAGAAATGTTATGGCATATTATGTTTTGCATCATGTTCTCATTTGGTCTATCATCATTATTTTCACATCTTGAAGAGAATTGGAAAACATTTAATTTGGGAAAGATCATATGGTAATGAGAAGTATGGAAATGTGAATGGGGTAAATACGTGGTAAGTCCGAATATGGGGTGTAATTGAATTTGATAAGTTGGCTTGAGTGTCCATGGTGAAAAACCAAAAAATCGCGCGGATAGGTCTCTAGCCTTCCGGTTAGCACCGGTAAAAATGACAGTTTGGTAGTGCTTGTTGAGCCTACTTACAGACACCAGCCTAGGGATTACCAGTGTCATATTTACCGCCCCTATTGAATTAATATTGGAAGTTTGAAATTGATGAAATCGCATGTTAATATTGAGAACATGGTGATTTTGAAACAATGCATTGAAATGAATATTTTTCCTCATTGATTAACCTTGGCATAGCATTGCATTTACATTTATTTTTGTGTTGAGGAAAAAGCATAACTGTATATACTTTGTGAGAATTCTCTACTGGGCTTTATGCTCACCCCTATGGGATTTGGTGCAATTAAAGAAGTCGTGATCCCGCCGAGCTAAGGGTGTGGATATATTTTGGTGAAGAGTAGTCTTGCACTTATTTTTGTTGTGATATTTTTTGTAAGCCAAGGGCTAATATGTTTGGGTTCGAGAGACCATTTTATGTAACCAGGCTACTGCCTTGGAAGATGTAAGCCCTTAAGGGCATTTTATTGTTTTGAGATTAGATGCCTTACATGCTATAGATTCAAGTGATTCATTTATCGTTGAATGTATATTCACATGTGAACTTTTGTATAAACTCTCTCATTATCTATGTAAAGATGGATGGTCATTGTCATGGCTTAGTGGATGTTGATTAATGTGGGTTGATCATGTTGGTTTATTTTCGGGGCGTTACAACTTGGTATCAGAGCTACCGGATTTGAATACTTGGGGCTCACGGGGAGTGGTCGTTATACCACAATGGGTTCATTTCGCATGATTAGGAAATGTTTTGCTTTTGTGATTATGTGATAGCATGTTTATGTGACTATGTGGGTATGGGATTAGACTTTTGGGATGTTATTTACGCCTATTAGATTCCTTGAGTTCTTAATAGAAGGGTACCTGATCAACATATAGTTAGAATAAGTGTTAGGACTTATATGTTGCATTTATGTGAGCATGGTATTAAGTTTCTTGGATTGTACTTGTAGCCAGTGAACTTGCTTTGAAGTCCTATTGGAAACACGCCTGATCAATGTGGTTTCTGATAGGAATTCTTTAAGAGTTTCGGGACGAGTGGCTATCTTTGTGGACTTGATTCGGTTATGTGCTTGGATGCTTAAATTGTTTGTATGCATTGGGAATTGTTTGTTTTGGTGGTCAAGTGTGTCCTATTGCTTAGTGGTGGTGAATGTGTGCCTCAGGGAGGCTGTTGTGTTGTGCACTAAGTTTGATTTTGTTTTGGGATTTTATAAGATGTCCACACAAGGGAATAGAGGACGGATGGGAAGTGGGAGTGTCAATAGGGGCATGGCAGTTCCCTTAGCACCTGTCGTTACAGCATCCGCTGTCGGGGAGGAAGTTGCACGCGAGATTGTGAGAGCGGTGCAAGATGCTCTAGCTCGCAATGAGGGGGACAACGGGCGTACCCTCAAGCTTACTAAGGAGTTTCTTCACTCCACTCCACTAGGATTTTTGGGGGAGGTAAAACCACTGGAAGTAGAGAGTTGGTTGGAACAGATTACCAAGACTCTTTATATGTTCAGAGTCGAGGACGAGGGGTTGAGGATTTCTTTGGCGACCTTCCAATTGAAAGGAGATGCAAATTATTGGTGGAAGTATGCTAAGAACACTATAGATGCCATGTGGGTTGCTTTTACCAAGGTCTTTTTAGCCAAGTATTTCCCTCATTCTACTCGAGAAAGGTTGAGGGAGCAGTTTGTTGAGTTGCGCCAGGATGCTATTCCTTTGGCCCAGTTTGAGATGAGGTTCACTAGTTTGTCGATGTTTGCTCCAAAGTTGATGGCAACAGAAGAGCGCCGCTGTTATGAGTTTGAGCAGAGGTTGAGGACGAAGATCTTGTTCAAGGTTACCGGGAACATGATCCGAGAGTATGATTGCCTTGTGGAGGCGGCTGCACATGTGGAGATTATTGTGGAGGCCAAGGAAGAGAGACTTCAGAATTCGAGGTCTAAGGGCCAAGGGTCGCAGGGGGACTTTAGGCCCAACAAGAAGAGTAAGAGCACCTTTTCATCCCAGTCTCAGTCATAGCAGTCTAGATCTACTTAACCCTTGCCTAGTGCGGGCCCGGGGAAGAGTGCACCGAGTGGGTTTTCTTGCTTCAAGTGTGGCCAGCCGAGTCACAAGGCCTTTCCTTGTCCACAGAAAGGAGGAGGACAACAGATGTTACCGTCACCACCGCCTAACCGATCTCAGAGTTAGTCTCAGAGTAGGGGTCAGGGACCCACTTGCTTTCAGTACGGGCAGTCAAGGCATATGAAGAGAGCTTGCCCTCAGTTGGGAGGCGCCTTCAAGGTCTAGGCAGACACAGAGCCACCAGCAAGCCCACTCAGCTCAGGCTTCACGAGTTCACTAGGGAGCCGCTTCGGCTTAGTCAATACAGCAGGCCTATGCTCCGAGAGACGAGCAGGTAGAGCAGACGCCACAGGGGTGCGTGTATGTAGTTACCGTGCCAAAGTAGTTGCCAGGATCCTCTGTAGTGAGAGGTATTTTTATTGTGTGTAATTCTTTGGCCAGTGTGTTGATAGATACGGGTGCGTCTCATTCTTTCATATCCGCTGCATTCGTATCTACATTGGGGTTAGAGGTGGTACAATTAGCGTCTCCACTCAGAGTTGAGTCACCAGTCGGGGGTACAGTTGACTTAGATTAGGGCTGTCGTGATTGTCAGATAGAGGTTTTCGGGCATAGACTCCTATTTTCTTTTGTGTTGTTGGACATGTCCAGTTTTGATGTCATTCTAGGCATGGATTGGTAGTCTTCGTATCGGGCAGTGATTGCTTGTCTCCGGCGAAGGGTCATAGTGTGCACTTCGGGTGGAGATTGTTTTTATTTTCTAGGAGACAGGGTTGATTGGTTCTTATCGCCAGTATGTGATCCTCGTAGTAGGGATGAGCTTAGTGGTCTTCTTGCTACTCTTTTGAATAATGAGAGTGGCGGGACTCGAGTTGAGTTGCCAAGAGTAGTGTGTAAGTATCCAGACGTGTTTCCCGAGGACCTTACTAGTTTGCCATCCCACCGGGAGATTGAGTTCACCATCGACTTAGTGCCTAGGACGGCACCAATTTCTAGGGCGCCGTATAGATTTGCACCCGTGGAGTTGCATAAGTTGAAGATTCAACTCCAAGAGCTTTTAGACAAGGGCTTTTAGACAAGGGCTTTTAGACAAGGGCTTCATTCGCCCTAGTACGTTGCCTTGGGGAGCACCGGCCCTCTTTGCAAAGAAGAAGGATGGGTTGTTGGGATTGTGTATTGACTACCGTAAATTGAACCAAGTTACCATTAAGAACAAATACCCTTTACCCAGAATAGATGACTTATTTGATCAACTTAGGGGTTCTTGTTGCTTTTCGAAGATAGATTTGAGGTTAGGGTACCACCAGTTGAGAGTCCGAGAGGAGGACATCCAGAAAACGACCTTTCGTACGCGCTATGGCCACTAGGAGTTCCTTGTAATGCCATTTGGGCTGACTAATGCACCGGCTTCTTTCATGGACTTAATGAACAAAATTTTTAGGGAATATTTGGATCGTTTTGTAGTAATTTTCGTTGATGACATTCTAATTTATTCGACCTCCGAGAACGAACATGACGCTCATTTGAGGATAGTTCTTGACTTGCTTAGGGAGCATCAGTTGTATGCTAAGTTTGAGAAGTGTGAGTTTTGGCTCACCAAGGTAAAGTTTTTGGGCCATGTTGTGTCAAGAGAGGGAGTAACCATAGATTTTTCGAAGATAGACTCTTCGAAGATAGACTCTATGCAAGATTGGGAGCAACCTAAGAACATCTTTAAGATCCGGAGTTTCTTGGGGTTGGCAAGGTATTATCGGCTCTTTGTGAGAGACTTCTCTAGATTAGCCGCGCCTTTTACTAGGTTCACTGGAAAGGGGGTTAAATTTGTGTGGAGCAAGGCATGTGAAAGATCTTTCCAAGAGTTAAAAACTAGATTGACCACGGCACTGGTGTTGATCATTCTGGAGAGGCGTTTGGGTTACACCGTCCATTGTGATGCATCTTGGGATGGGCTTGGTTGTGTTTTGATGCAAGAGGGGAGGGTTGTAGCGTATGGTTCATGTCAGTTGAAAATTCATGAAAAGAATTACCCAACCCACGACTTAGAGTTAGCCGCAATGGTGTTTGCCTTGAAAATTTGGCGGCATTATTTGTATGGTGAGAAGTTTGAAGTTTTCTCCGACCATAAGAGCTTGAAGTATTTATTTTCTCAGAAAGATTTGAATCTATGCCAACTGAGGTGGATGGAATTTCTAGAAGACTATGATTTTGAGTTGTAATATCATCCGGAGAAGGCCAATGTAGTGGCCGACGCCTTAAGCCGAAAAACTATGAGTAGTTTGGCGAGTGTGGCCATTCAGGAGTGGGGTATGTTGGGTGAAGTCGAGAGGTTTGGATTATAATTGGGCGAGTTTAAAGAAAGTGCCACATTGTTTACCTTGAGTGCTCAACCTACTTTGATTAGTAAAGTGGTAGAGGCGCAACAGGGAGACCACGAAGTGGAGTTAATTCAGGAGAAAATCTCCAATGGGAAGGAGGAGAAGGGTTTGAATATTCACTCGGACCAGAGTGTACGTTACTTAGATCGTCTGTTTTTGCCAGAATCTTATAGAGAGGAAGTGTTTCGGGAGTTCCATCACTCACGCCTTGTGGTACATCCAGGAGGCACCAAAATGTATCAAGATCTTAGCCGTCAGTTTTGGTGGAGGGGTATGAAGCGGGATGTCGCATCCATCGTGTCTAAGTGCCTTACTTGCCAGCAAGTGAAGGTCGAGCACTAGAGACCAGCGGGTTTCCTACAACCCTTACCTATAGCAGAGTGGAAATGGGAGCACGTGACCATGGATTTCGTAGTTAGACTTCCTAGAACACAGCGGGGTAATGATGCCATTTGGGTGATTGTGGATAGGCTGACCAAGTCCACACATTTCATTCCAATGCATACTAGCGACTCAGTTGAGCACTTGGCAGAGTTGTATATTAGGGAGATAGTTCGGCTTCATGGGGTTCCGGTAACCATTGTGTCGGATAGGGATCCTCATTTTACCGCCCGGTTGTGGCAAAGCCTTCAAGAGGCATTAGGAACCAAGTTGACCTTTAGCACCGCTTACCACCCTCAAATCGATGGGCAGTCGGAGTGCACCATTCAAATTTTGGAGGATATGCTTAGAGCTTGTGTCCTAGATTTCAAGGGGTCTTGGGAGAGGCACTTACCATTGATCGAATTTGCCTACAACAATAGTTATCAGGCTAGCATTGAGATGGCACCGTTTGAGGCCTTGTATGGCCGACCTTGTAGGTCCCCAGTTTGTTGGGCCGAAATAGGGGATGCACCGTTGTTGGGTCTGGAGATGGTTAGGGAGACATCTGAAAAAGTTGCTCTCATTCGGAAGAGGTTAGCAATAGCCCAAAGCCGACATAAGAGTTATGCTGATAAGAGGAGGCGACCCTTAGCTTTCGAAGTGGGTGATCATGTGTTCCTTAAGATCTCACCTAGGCGAGGTCTGATGCGGTTTGGCAAGAGTGGTAAGTTGTCTCCGAGGTTCATTGGGTCTTTCGAGATATTAGAGAGGATCGGCGAGGTGGCATACCAGTTAGCTTTACCGCCACAGCTTTCGGTGGTTCACAATGTGTTTCACGTGTCTATGCTTAGGTAGTACGAACCCGACCCTTCTCATGTACTAGATTGGGTTGATTTGGAGGTAGGCGAAGACGCCTCTTACGAAGAGCGATCGGTTAGATACCCGGGAGCAAGTGCTGCGAGGTAAGACCATACCGTTAGTGAAGGTGTTGTAGAGACACCATGGGATTGAGGAAGCAACTTGGGAACGGGAAGTGGAAGTTCGCTCCAAGTATCTGGATTTATTTGAGCATGTTTAGTTATTTTGTTCTAAGTTTGTAATGTTCTCAAGTGTGGAATGGAAAATGTGTTGAATTGTTGATCACACGTGTTGTATGTATTGTTAAACTAAATTTTGAGGTTATGAAAGAAAGGAATTTTATTGCAAACATTTTTTTTCGTATATCTAGTGTAAGCAGTTGTAGCCTTGATGGAATGATGAGGAAGAAAATGAGGTATGTTGATTAAATTTTGGTGTTGTGATTTGATAGCGTTGTTGAAAAAAAAAATGATCACCGTTGTTAGGACACTCTTTTTGGGTGATTTCATTTCATTTCGGGAAGTTTACATAAATTTCGGCGACGAAATTTCCTAAGGTGGGGAGGTTGTGACAACCGGGTCTCCTTTTTCCTCTATTTCTTCTCATTTCCTTCCTTCTTCGCTCTACTTTTTTTTTTTGTCGTTGAGCTTGAAACGCCCGGAATTTAGTTCTTAAAGTAAAATCCTTACTCTTGTCGCGTTTTGGTTTTAAACCTCGCTTGTTCTAGAGGGCATGAGGACAAGTCTGGAGTGCCTGGGAGCTGAATTAGGAGATTCTAGGCTGCTGAGCACGGGCCGCACGAGCAGGAGGCTAAGCCGCACGTGCGGGGAAAAGGAAGGCAGTGTGTGTTGCATTCTGCTTTAAAAGTAGGTGCGGGACCAGCCGCACGTGCGGGGGCATGTGCCGCACGTGCGGGGCGGGGCATATCCGAAAACTCTTTTTTTTTACCCTTTTTGCCAATCTGTAACCATTTTTAGGGCCTCTTTTTCTCACTCAAAACCTCATATTTTCTCCTCCTTCTCTCTAAAAACTTTCATTTAGCACACCAAACCTTTGATCACTTGTGATTCTTGGGCCAAAGATCCTCAATCATTCCTCCTAAATCTTGAAGATCAAGCTTGGGTTTCTCTTGGTGTTGGAGAAATTGAAGAATACTCCACGTTGGAGCTAGGGTTCTATCATCTTCTTCATCAATCTTGGAGATAGGGATTCTTGAGTTATATATGCTAGTTATGCTATTTTGATGGTGATTTAAAAGCCTTATACTAGTTTGATGATTTCAACTTGTGGTTTCAAAAATGTAGAGATTTTCTTCAAAAAAAAAAGGGTTTCTCTTTAAACTTCAAAATCTTTGTCAAT